TTATTAAAGCCCTAAGTTCTAGTAGTCCTTATATGTTGCATAATACACATTTGCACTCAATATTATGATTTATGTTCTCTAGGTTGCTTTTCAAAAAATTTTTAAAAGAATTTTATCTTCATATTCATTTATCATTTTAAAATAAATATATTTGAATTAGTACTAGTAACAAAGTTATAATTAACAATGGAGGAAACAGGTATCAGTGCAGAGATCTATCTCAATATATAGTATATCAATGAAGTTAAAGATTGCACTTTATAATAAATTATATTAAGATAACATTTATTAGTTTACAATCTGAACAATGAAGCCAGTAAAAGTGTGTTTTGTACATATATAATATCACAAATGTATGTTGATTAAAATAATAACATGGTAGTAACAATAAATATATATAAATATATTAAATGTATGATATAAATATATAAATGCATAAAAATAACAGTAAACATTAAATTATTTAAACCTTTAGAGAGTATGTCATTATGAGTTAAATCAGGAAAACAGAAGTCACTGTATCTGTGTGGGTTAATAAAAAAATGGATTTAGACCCGCCTGAGCAACTTGGTGAGACCTCATCTCTACAATAAATCACAAAATTAACCGGGTGTGGTAGTGCGCGCCTGTAATTCCAGCTACTTGGAAGGCTGAGGCGGAAGGATCGCCGGAGCCCAGCAGGTCGAGGCTGCGGTGGCCGGGAGCAGCCACTGCACTCCAGTCTGGGCGACAGAGTGAGACTCCAACTCAGAAAAAAAAGGGTTTATGTGAAAGAGAGTTATAAGGTTGGACACAGAGGCCAAGGAAATACTGCTGATGGTTGAGGACCTGTCAGCAAAGGTCAGAGGACAGAGGCACAGAAGCGGTGGTCTAAAATGCGTGCCTGGAAGCTGCTGCAATTTTTCAGTTGTTGTGTGGAGCTCCCAGAGCTAACCCAGACTGCAGTGGAGGTTTCCAGAAACTTGCTGGGAAGCTGCTGAGAATCTCTCATCTGTTCTCATGTCTACCTGCAATCAACTCCAGAGAATAATTTCTTGTGCTTCTCTCTGCTTGCCGGTTCTCCCACACATTCCTCTTATGGGGAAACTCTAACCCAGATTAAAGAGGTTCTGGAAGTAGTTCCCAGCCTTAGAAGGAAGTGTTGGACAGTTCATCATAGTGGGCTACATATATCTCAAGCTCTGTATTAATGCTTTGCAATCATTGTCTTAATCTCTATGGAAACCCTATGATGTAGGTATTATTATTATTCACATTAGGTAGATGGAATATTGACTGTTAAAGCTAGTAAGCAGAAAATGAGTGATTCAAAAAAGTGATTATTTGGTTTCAAATCACTACTGTTTCCTGTATCTTTCATTGCATTTTGCTTACATTAATAATATTATTGATAATAATAAATATGAGTTAAATCTTCTGCTATGATAGCTGCTAATATATTTTGTTTGTGATTTGAATACCTTAGGCTTAGCTAGCCTATGAGTATACACAAGATCACATTAAAATTAATACTTGCATTTTATCAATCCCTAAATCCTTAGCCTAAAATGTCTATGAATATTTTGTTTCAGGGCAGGAGTGCTTTTACCACTTCTATTGTTCTTTTTTAAAAAAATTATTTTTATAGACGGGGTCTCACTGTGTTGCCCAGGCTGGAGTGCAGTGGTTATTCACAATCATAGCTTACTCCTGCCTCAAACTCCTGGGCTCAAGTCATTCTACCATCTCAGCTGCCTGAGTAACTGGGACCACAGGTGCACACTACTGCACCTAACTTCATTATTTGTTTCATTTATATACACCCATGGCCACCATAACCCAGAGAATTTTATGTCATAACTCTTGCACAGTGGTAAGAATTGAAGATGAGCCTCCTTTCCTCTCTAGAAACATTGTTCCTTAATAGTGCTTAGCCTCTGTATCTGAAAACTAGCCTAATATGCTGGAAGAGTTTTTTCCTTATGATGAATGACCCTTGTTAAACTTTCTGCAATCTGATTTCTAGCACAAACTTGACATCCAGGCTGCACGACTCTATCTCCCCTCCTCAAATCTATCAGCCCTGCATTTCTAGCTCTCTGTCTCTAAATTCTAATGGGGGAAAGAAATCAATCTTTTTATTGCCAGGAGCATCTTTGCAAATCTAAGGGTTTAAATTTTTATATCTGGGAAAGGGGATACTGTCAAGTTCAAATCCTCAGAATCATTCAAGTCCTAATGCCGTGAATATATGGATTAAGTGAGAGGTAGGATAATTCATCTTATAATTACAATAATCTAAAACTAGACTACTGTTCCATCAAGATATCCACATATCCTATTGCAACTATTAGTTATTTTCATTTGGCTTATGACTGAATTTGCTCTGTGACTTTATTCTCATATATTCATTAATAGATTATAAGTGCAACCAAAACTAGTTATCAGACTGATATTTTAAAAATTTAACAGTGAGTATTTGGTTTAGTATGACTATATATTCTATTTTCTAAAGAAAATATAGGAATGCCTTTATTTATTTTAAAAGAAACAAATACACCCTAAACTTGCCATCAAATTTAAAAGGTAAAATGAAAAAAATTAAAAGTACTTAAAGTCTTCAAAAATGTAAGGACAGAAATTACTGTGGCATTAAAGCCCTGTCACCTGACCTTATTTTGCTTTATTTCAGTGCCCAGGCGTTCTGTGACAATAGAAGTCTAGTTGGTTCTTCTATTTATTTTTCTTTCCATTTTCTGGAATGCTTTGCAATGTGTAATGAATTCTAATAAAATATAATGCATTTCTTCTATATAGAAGCAAAATCCAAAATGGATTAAATTGCATTTCTTTTTTTTTTTTTGAGTTGGAGTCTCACTCTGTCACCCAGACTGGAGTGCAGTGGCCGCTCCCGGCCACCATAGCCTGGATCTGCTGGACTCTGGCGATCCTTCCGCCTCAGCCTTCCAAGTAGCCGGAATTACAGGCATGCGCTACGACGCCCGGCTGATTTTTTTTTTTTAATTTATTGTAGAGATGAGGTCTTGCTGCCCAGGCGGGTCTCGAACCCGCGGGCTCAGGCAATCCACTCACCTCAGCCTCACAAAGGCACGGGATTACAGGCTGAGCCACCGAGCCCGGCTTTAAATTGCATTTCAAGAATGTACCATTGGGGTAATTGCATTGCTTTATAATTACTTTTACAACAACAAATAAATACCCTCTTTAGTTACAATTATAATAATTGAGGTTTTAAATGGAAGAAATAAATAATACCTGTGCCAACTAGTTGTCTGCTTACCTGTTTTTCAGAATGTGAAAAGTATTATACTTGTCTAATAATGTAAATTAGATCACAATGTATTTATGGTAAGCATCCTTTGTTCTTTTAATTCCAACTCTATGTTCACTCTGCACATTTTTTAGAAACCCTGAATTATTTTATCGGTGTCTCTAAGATCAACTTAGGAACTTATCCTCTACAATCCATTTAGCCTCTGCTCTGACACATCCATGTGTTTCTAGACTTAGAAATGTAAACACATACCCCTGAGATAATCATGACAGTAGTATGTGTAGGGGGTCAGAAGATTATATTTTGGGGAGGGGCTAAGAAATGCTTAATTGTTGTTTATTGGTACAGTAAAGGACTCTAATTATTAATATCTACCTGTGGTCAATGAACCAAGTAGTAATTCATTTAGACAATAGATATTTATTAAACACTATCTATGAGCTAGGTAGAGTTCAAAGTTCTAGGGAGAAAGTAGAAATCAAACCAGGCAAATCCTTGCCTCTAGTGCTGCCATAGGCAGGGAGGAGAGTGAATAGTAAACAAGAGTGCTAAGTGTTGTAAAGAAAGTAAAACAATAAAGTGATAAAGACTTATGATGATTGCTTAAAGTAATCCTCTCTAAGAAGGTCTCATTTAGAGACTGACTAATGACAAGTCAGCCATCTGAACATCTAGGCAAAGAACATTCAAAGCAGAGGAAATAGACCACCAACAAAAAGGACAGGTTGGGGAATTTCTACTAACACTTTTGTTGGCACTCCTAATATTTGATATTTTGGGCCTAATGACTAGAACCACTGCCTGTCACGGAATCTGAGGGTAAAATGACAGTGGACAGACTAAAATTCTAGGCTACACTGACAAGATGAAATGTGATTGATATGAATGTAAAATGGTACACTAAGTTCACAAACCCAATAACACAGCACACAATTTTATCCGTGTGGCTTGACAGCTGTTCACGTTCAAATAATCTAGGGATTCTAATTGATCACAGACTGGAGATTGTTCTTTGCTGTTGTTCCTAATTGAAGTAAACAATGTGTAGCTATCACCCTTGGATAGATGCTGGCCCAATTTGAGGTATCATTAGAGACAGCTTGCTTTGAAGATAGAGAACTCACTGTTGCTTAACTTATGGGGTGGGGGTGGGGAAAAGGGATGGAAGGAGAATATTTGTAGAAAGAAAATTATTTGTTGCTGGGAGACTAATTTAAGGCACTTTTTGGTTTCTGTTTGTGACTTGTGACTTGTTTCTTTAATTCCAACAAAAACTTTTTATTGTAGGATATTTAGAGATCACTAAGAAGGAAAATGACATTGATATATAAGGTACATGTTGAAGTTTAACAAAAATTTAGTTTACGATGGCATCTCAAAATATCTGAATTTTAAAATTCTTAGACTATAATTTTAAAACAAATTTAGATGAAATATTTTGTATGCTATTGGCTAAATATAATAATAGACATAAATATAAGCAAATATATCTTGGTTTTGCCACATATTAACCTTGGAACATAGACAATTTACTTCCTTGCCTTTCAGTTTCCTCAAAATGAGGACAATAACTTGCACCTGCCTGATAAGATTGTTATGAGCAAGAGGTGAGTTGCTATCTATAAGCAGTTAGACCAGTGCCTTGCAATTTAAATGCTAAGTAAATGTTTGTTATTATTATTGCTGCTATTGTTAGATGTAAATGTATGCTCTATTCTGCCCTCAGGAATTAATGACCAAGTTAATAACTGAGACACCTGACCAGCCTATCCCATTTCTCATTGACCATCTTCAGTCTAAACAAGGGAATCGTGGACAACTTCAAAGAACTTTGTCTGGATCTGCAGCTCTCTGGGCAGAAAGTGAGACATCAGGTAAGTGAAAAATACATCTTACAGTTAATGTTGGATACATTTAATATTTTTAAAAAGTTTTTGCTTATAATAAGATAAATCTAGATAGATAGTTACCTAAGTTTCATGTATTCATCTGTGACTTTACCTAGATACTAAAATGTATCATAAAATATTCTTAAACTTGAATATCTTATAATAGATTATACTCAAAATACAAGAATCAGTGTATTCCATTTTAATAGATATAAGATTCAGATTTTCATGAAAGAATTTCTCTCTGAATTCAAAGTAATCTTTTTATGAAGATATTGAATTAAATGTTTATAGTTAATCGGTATAGAAAGATAAACCATAGACTTCTACAAAGTTACCTTTTTTTTTTTTTTTAAAGATGAGTCTTGCTATGTTGCTGATGTTGGTCTTGAACTCCTGGCCTCAGGCAATCCTCCCACCTCTACCTCCCAAACTGCTGGCATTACAGGCATGAGCCACCACATCTGGCCTTTTCTTGTTGCCCAGACTTATTATTATTCTCCATTTCTCCAAGCCCCATTTTTATCCTGTGTAGTAAATTCAACCTTGGGAAGATTAATTCACTCTTTACACTGGGAAACCAGTCTTCCCAATCTGTAATAGCCTTATCTCCCTAATAAACACTAGTGAGATAATTGAGTAGACTTGGTTTTGATCATTGTTTATAAAATGCATGTCCAATAACTTCTTTCATCTACACTTATGGTCTATTGGTTTGACATTTACTTTCAAAACCGAATCCCCTTATGCCTATTGCTTGGGTAACCAGCTCATTGCCTGATTCCCATGGGAATCTGATGGACTGTACCCCAGATGTTTTCCTGGAATAACATTATCACTTCTCTCCTATTCTTTATGCTCTATGGGATCCCCTGAAAGGATTTTGATTTGGGGGCACCGTATTCTCATATGAGACCATGTCTCAAGACCACACTAAAATGAGTAGAGAAGACGGTGTCCTCTGAAGAATGTAGACATTTCTGGGGTCAGTTATCCATACAAAATGTATTTGCATTATACAGGAGCCTAGAATATAAGCTTTTGGCATACAATAAGGGGAACTCCTATTTTTTCTTGACCTCATTTTCTTGGATTTAGATTAGAAGTAGAGTGGCTACATAGGCATGTGCTTTGGTTTGTAGGCACCACATGAAGACAGATCAGATAAGTATCTATGAACTCAGTATAGTTTGAGCGAGCCTGTATTTTATACATCCTAATATCTGGAGAGACAGGAGTATATTAACTTCTACATTTTTAATCAGCACACATTAAGTATCTCAGTGCTTATGTGTCAGAAGTCTGTGCATGGCTTAGCTGAGTCCTCTGTTCAATCTCACATGGCTGCAAATCAAGGTGTTGGCTGGGTTGCATTCTCATCTGGAGGCTGAACTAGGAAAGAATCTACTTCCAAGCTCATTTGAATTGTTGGCAGAATTTATTTTCTGCAGCTATGTGACTGAGGTCTCTATTGTATTACTGGCTTTCAGTCAAGGACCACTTTCAGTTCCTACATGCACCTCAGAGTTCTTTAACATGTGACTCTCTCATATTATCTTACTTCTTTAAAGTCAGAAAGGGCATTTCTCTCATTCTGCTTGGATGGAGGTTTATGTAATAGATTATAGTCATTCTATTGCATCTCATCACTTGTGTTGTATTCTGTTGGTTCAAAGCAAGTCAACGTTTCTGTCTGCACTTGAGGGGAGGCCATAATGTAGGGTGTAACACCAGGAAACAGAGCAGAGACCAGGGTTAAGAATTACCATGTTATTCTATCAGTTCTCTTAGACACTTTCTATTGATGAATTTTAGTTTCTTGTGAGCTACTTTAGTAGACAATGTGAGTCTAAGTTCCTGGGGGTGGATCAAGGAAGGAGTCCCAGATGTGGCATTCAATATCATACAAATAATCATGAGGGTGAAGGAATAAAGGAAGATGGGACAAAGTTATAGATGAAACATGGAATGGATGGGGGAGACAGCAAGTTTCAGATGATTTCAAATGTTCTAAACTGTATCTATTTATTATGAGATCAGGATGTTTGCTGAAGATAAGAGGACTGGGGTTGGTTAGTGCAGATGGAAATGAGTGACACCAATTTTAAAAAGTCACAAGGGGAAGGAAAACAGGGCAAAGAAAAAAAAAGATTGTCAAGCAGTTCTGGGGCCTAACTGAAATAAAAGACATGGGTTAATTATTATTAATTAATCATGAAGCCACCAGTAAGTTTTGCAAAGGAGTTGAGGACATTTGTGAACAAACTGTGCAGGTAATCAAGCACCAGGTCTGGTCTGAGAAGTAGTGAACAAGTCCAGGGAGAAATTTATACATAGAAAGCCAATCAGAGTTTAGAAGATTTAGGAGATCAATACAATGAAAATATGAGCGATACAGAAGGATGCAAACTGTGCTGAGAGATTATAATATTAGATCAAGAAATCTGAGGTAAAATGATTCCAGATGATGAGATGATTTTGTGGATGCCCTTGGTTTGGGAATGATGGAAGCATCAGGGAAGCAAAGCTCTCCAGAGCTGACAAGATAAGGAAGGATGAGGCTTAATGCATGGTTTGTTTGAGAATAAAGTAATCATCAGAGTTTTATTCAAGTTATTGAAAGGACAAGAGATAACACATGACTATGCCAGTGTCTTAAATAAGGTTATGGAAGCAATCAGAGACAGAAAAGATTGTAATAATAAAGAGTGTTGAGTAGTATAGGGAGAAAGCATTTCTCACAAGAGAGGAAGCACTTTTACTTTATTGTTGAGACTTCCTACCACAGATAATGCTGAACCAGGAGATCCAGTTCTGCTTCTACAATTGAGTTGGGTGAGACATGGGGGAGAGAACACTCTTATGTAAAGAATCGGATGTGCGTTAAGACATGAAATGGGACATTTGAGCATGCAGCAGTGTGTATGTGAAACATATGGCCCAGAAGAAGAGGAAAGATTTTATATGGAAAAATATGGCAGGAAGGAGAAGAAAAGCATAGACGAATTCCTGGATGTGAATATAACCAAAGGAGTTACAATTTGGGTGATGGCAAATAATGCCAGTTTAAGTTTTGCCTGTACTCTTGAATTATTTATTTTGGTACATCTTCTAATTAGTTGGAAAGTGTCTCAAAAGTCAAAGTGTATGAGTAACATACTGCTTGGAAATATCTGAAGATGCCCTCTTGTTGCCTTCAAATGACTCTGGCAACTTGGAACACAACGTCTTCTCAAGTCTGTCAATTAATATTGTGGAGGAAAAACCTGACAGCAGCCTTATTTTAGTCCTTCTTAGGGATAAAAATAATTTATTTTTCTTGAATTCTTATGAAGTTTTTCTTTACTTTTGATATTTAAATGTTTTACTGGGTTATCAACTATGATTTTTTTTTAGGAAAATCTGTTATGTATAAGTTGAGTCTTATTTACTGTTCTCTATTTCTCTCATATCATTTGTCATTGCATTGGCAGAGTAACTTTGTTGACTATCTTTTAGAGAGGTTTATCATGTGAAGTGTGTTCACTGTATCACTGATTAAATTTTCAACAATATCAGCTTTCTCAGTCTGGCTTTAAACGCTTATTTAAATGTTGATATTGCATTTTAGTTTCCTGTCAGTATTCCCTATCTTATCTTCTTTTATTATTTCCGTGTGCAGTTACATTTTAAATCGTAGAAGAGTTAGCTTATCTTCTATCTTATTTCTTTTTGTTTCATTGAGTCCATATTCCTCTATTTTTTGTTAAATAGAAACAGAATAGTCATGGTCACGTTACAACATTTAATGGTTTTCATTAGAAATTTTTTAAAACTATGACTTGTTCTGCATCCTGAGGGCTGTATTTTTGGTTTTTATATTGTTTTTCTTGTAATGATTTTTTCTAATTATTTAAAATTAAATGAGGAGTGTTCTATCTAATTCTAGGTTTGTCAATAAAAAGTGTAAGTGGACTCATATATCCCCTCTCCATAAAGCTTGGAACTATTTTGATTCTCTTCCAAATTTTAGAGGGATGAAGTCATAAATGTTATTCAAGTTTTCAGCATCAGTCAAATACCTTGCTGCTCTGCTAAACCGATGAATGACTTCATGTAACTTTACACTTTTCAACAAACTAAATAAAAATAATATAATTGCTAGATTATTGAATTAAGATGGATTTTTTTTTTCACGTTCAAAGTAGAGAATAAAGCAAGCCACAAAATTCCTCTCTGGTTTCTTGCAGAATTCCTTTGTTTCATGAGATGCTGTATTTTTACCTAGGATTCTTTCTTCCATTAACTGTGTTGTGTCAGAAGAAATTATGATCCTATGATGGAGGTGAAAAAACAAATTCTGAAGATTGTGAAACAACATAAAGAGCTGACTCTGAGGTAGAAGCAAGAAGCACTGTAGATACCTAGTAATCTCCTAGTCTTCTGCTGACTAGCCATTCTGCGGAAATATTTCCAGGGTTCTAGCAGACTACGAATCAGTATTTCTGTTCCTAGTACTAGCTTCAGAATGTTGATGCCTCTTTGGTATCTGATGGGATATGGGAGGTGGAAAAACCTGGTAACAACCCAAGTCTGAGGAACCCGTGTGCTATTTCGTGGTACCTATCGGGCATTTATAAGTGAGTGGCCAGAGAAAGACTTCAAAGTTATCCATATAGCTGGAAATTTGTCAGTTAAGACAAGAAGGTAGAAAGAAACTGCAAGAAATACCAAACTGATGAAGATGAGGAGAAGATGAGTTACACAAAGTAGTTAGATAAGTGACACGGGTATAAGGAGACGATAATGCCCTAACAGAAAAGAAAGTAACACTCTATAAAGACTGGTCTATCTAAAACATGAAATCAAAAGAAGTCAAGAAGCATGAACTTTTGGAAAAGTCATTTCATTTGAAAACTGGTATGACATCAACCACCTTTGAAGGGAAGCTATAGCAACATGGTTGAGCTGAGTCAATCTTTCTTGCACAGAATCTGAGTTAATTTAATCAAATCTTAGTGATTTTATGCATCACAATGGATAAGGCAGCATCAAGGGTAAAATTTTACTGAAATATTTGTTTTTGTTTGCAACAGAGTACGATGCTTTATTTGGTGATGCTCATTTATAAAATATTACTTCGAGGGAAATCCCTGTCTTAAAAAGCTTTTCAAATAATTTGATCGTTTTTAGAGCATGATATTAATCGTATTCGTTAACAAACTGATTCATATCAGATTTAAAAATGCTAATTTGGGCCAGGCATCGGTGGTTTCGCCTGTAATCCCAGCACTTTGAGAAACTGAGGTGAGTGGATTGTCTGATCCCGGGGGTTCGAGACCAGGCTGGGCAAGTTGGTGAGACCTCTCTCTACAATAAATCACAAAAACTAGCCAGGCAAGAGGGTGTGTGGGTCTGTAGTTCTGGCTACTTGGAAGGCTGAGGTGGAAGGGTCGCTGGAGCCCAGCAGGCAGAGAGGCTGCAGTGACCGTGAGCGTGCCACTGCACTCCAGCCTGGGCAACAGAGTGAGACTCCAACTCAAAAACAAAAACCAAAAAACAAACCAAAAAAAAAAAACCGAATGAAATGACCTATAGATTTTTCTAAGTATATTTAATGAATTCATGAATTTGGTTTTCAATCAATTTTGAAATCATATTGGGTTTTTATATTTATTTTGTTTTAACAGAATCTAAAGGAACAAGAAGGGATTTCAGAAGCTATGATAAACCTTGGCAACTAAATGCAAAGAAACCTAAAAAATCCAAAAGTGACCTTGCTGTGTCTAATATTTCTCCGCCATCACCAGACTCCAAATCATGTAAGGAAATTTGTTATTCAAATGCTGTTCAATGTCTGTAAGTTTATGTTGTTAAGAAAATGAAGGAAAGGTAGTAATTGAATGCTCAGCTTTTCATCTGATATTTCTAGCTCTTAATCCTAACGAATTTCACTTTTATTTCAGGATCAATATTGAACTTTATGTAAATATACTCACTTACATTCTCAAATATATGTTATTGATTGAGACCTTCCTGAGTATAATATACTTTAAAAAATAAAAACTGCATGGAGCAGGCCCCTTGCCCTCGTGGCCAGTTGCAGCATCATATCTCATTCAAAATAGCACCAAACTTATACTTCGTGAAGCACAGAAAAGCAAATTACATCCTTTTGAGCAGAAGCAAAGCAGATTCTTAATTAAAACACAACAAGAAATTTTTTTAAATCTTTCATCTAGGATCTCCTTGAAGTCCTACTCATTACTTGTAACAGAAATACCTATATTTATTATCTTCCTTACCATCCTAAGTATCCCTTCTGTCTCAGTGCCTACTGCCTTAGTAACTGTGGGTTTCTCCAGAGCTCTGCTATCACCACATATGTGTAAACATGTCAAAAAACGCTGAGGAGCCTGCATTAAACCACAGTTATTCCTGGAAGAAAAGAGAGCTTGCAAGCTGTTCTTCTTATACCTCAATTCCATGCGCTTGTTACAGAGTGAGATGTTTGATTTTAATTTCAACAGAGCAGAGTGGGCAGAAAATATTTACCTTTGTTTGAAAATGTTTGAAAATCACTATGTGCTAACTGGAATGTGAATCTGGGTCATTTGTGAAAGCATCCAAAATCAACTCTGTGACTGTCTTCATTTACAAGGTGGCACTTAGATAAAGTATTGTAATAACCACACCAAGTTCTTGTGAGAATTATATGAAGTATTACAAACTTCAAAGGCTCTTTAGAAATCATGATTTTATCTAAACTGTCTGGCTTCACCAGTTTGCTATGTAAAATGAGTTCCTAACATTTTTACAATATACAAGTTTAAAATCTGCATGTATTATTCACAGCAGTATACCCCGTGATATCCAGCATGGTTCCTGGTTCAATTAATAAGTGCCACATGATAAAAAAATGAATAAAGGAAGAAAAGAAAGTGAAATGAATTAAATCTGTTTCCCTTTTCGTTATAGATCTCTCTCTCTCTCTCTCTCTCTCTCTCTCTCTCTCTCTCTCTCTCTCTCTCCCTCCCTCCCTCTCTCTGTCTCTCTCTCTCTCTCTCTCACTCTCTCTCTTCCCATGATAAATCCATAACCCTAGGGAATTTCTAATTTATCAGGGCAACTCTGGATTTTATCACTCATTATTGAGGAGAACTCCAAAAAGACCCACTCATTCCACTGGTCCTGTGTTCTTTATAGGATGCTGCCTAGCCACAGGGTGTTGCTGGTGGTCTGACATCTGACTATATCCATTTTGTCTCAGATCACTTATTCCCAACCTGTAGTTCCACCAGACTATTAAAAAGCCTTTTAAAGCAAAAATAATAACAAAGTAGCATGCTTTAAAAAAAAAAATAGCATATAGAGAGTTAATATATATGACAAAAAGAATATAATGGATTTAGGACTCTTCATTGAAAATACATTCTCAAACATATTAAATTGTTTTAAATACCTTTTGAACATAAATGTTGATAAGTTAAAGATGCATTTTTCATCTTTAAAGTCTCACTAAGAAGCAGCACAAGAGACTTAAATAAAAAAGTAGTAGATATACTAGAATGGAATGTTTAAAAAATTATCCTCCCAAAACAAAGGCAGGAGAAATGCAGTAAAAAAAAAAAAATGACAGATTGGAAAAATAGAAATTAAACACCAATATTGTAGGCTGAAGTACAAACATGTGACAATTACAATAAATATAAATGGAGTAAACACTTCAAATAAAGCAAATATTGTCAGGCTGAATAAAGAGTATAGATATTTAATATTTTAAAAAACCTTGAAATATGCTGACACAGTTTAAAACACTAAGCACAGACAAACCTATTTGGCCAAAGTAATATCAGACCAAGTAAAAGACAATGAAAGATATTACCAGAAATAGAGACCATATTGTAATGACAAAAGCTTATTGAGTCAAGAAAACAGAACAGTACTAAAGGGATATGCACCCAAGAACAAAATTTCTTAATTGCATGATGTAAAAATTTACAGAACTAAAGGGAGATATAAACAGATAGAATAAATGGACCAAGAAAATTAGTAATTATATGGAAGATTTGAAAAACACTATCAACTCCTTAATTAACACTTATAGAAGAATATGCCCAACAAAATTTTTTAGCCATATGGAAACAAACAAACAAAAATAACTTCGGTTCCTATGTTAAATCATACCTGAAGAGAGGCAAAAAAGTTTTAGAGATGTTTCAGCTACTATGGTTGAATACCAAATCACTCCAAGACTTTTTAGGTAAAATTAACATGAGAGTAGTCATCCTGAAATGTACAATTCAGTGGCATTTAGTATGATATTCACAATATTGTGCTGTCTAGTGTCTACTCCATCTAGTTTTAAAGCATTTTCCTCACTCCAAAAGGAAACTCTGTACCCAATAACCAACCACTCAACATTTCCACCTCCCACCAGCGTTTGGAAATCTGCTTTCTGTCTCTGTGAATTTATTCTAGGTATAAGAATACTTTAGAGATACTGTGGGTTTGGATCTAGACCACAATAAATAAATACTGCAATAAAGTTAGTCACACAAATATTTTGGTTTCCCAGTGCATATAAAAGTTATATTTATACTATAAGGTAGTATATTAAGTGTGTAACAACATTATATATAAAAATTCACATACCTTAATTTCAAATACTTTATTGCTAAAACTGTTAACAATCATCTGAGCCTTCAGCAAGTCAGAATTTTTTATTGGCGAAGTTTTCCACATGCCTTTCTCATGAAGTTTAATCATTTCTAACTTTTGATTTAAAGTGAGAGATGTGTCATTCTTCTTTTTACCTGAACAGTTACAGGCCACTGTAGGGTTATTATTTGGCCTCATTTTAGTATTTTTGTGTCTCAGAGACTAGGGAGGCCCAAGGAAGAGAAAGGTGAGGGAGTGACCAGTCAGTGGAGCGGCCCAAACACACACAACATTTACTGAGTTTGCTATCTTACGTGGATTTGATTCATGGTGCCCCAAAACAATTATAATAATAACATTAAAAATCACTGACCACAGATTACCATAGCAGATACAGTAATAATGAAAAAAATCAACATATTGTGAGAATTATCAAAATATAACACAGGAAGTAAGCACATGCTGTTGGAAAAACAGGGCTGATAGACTTGCTTGATGTGGGTTGCCACAAACCTAATTAAAAACAACACACATACTATCTGTGAAGCACAATAAAGGGAGGTGCAATAAAGCATTGCCTGTATAATGTATGAATGTAATCACGACGTGTGACGTTTTGTTATTTTACTTACCATGTTTTCATGGTTCATCTACACTGCAGCATGACCGACCATCACATCATTCTTTTATATGACTGAATAATATTCCATTATGTGGTTAAACTATATTCTGCTTATCTGTTTATCTGCTGTTGGGCATTTTGATTGCTTCGATCATGCGTAGCGCTGGTATAAATATGCCCATAGAGGCATTTATCTAAATACCTTTTTTCTACTATTTGGATATATGTTTTGTAACGGAATTGCTGGGCTGTATGGTAATTCTGTGTGTAATTTTGAGAGGCTGCTGGCAGTTTTCCAAAGAAACTGCATCATATCATTTTACAGTCCCACCAGCAGTGTACAAAGATTCCAGTTTCTTCATATTGTCACTAATATTTGTCATTTTTATTTTTTTAAATTATAGCCATTCAAGTGGATGTGAAGTGCTATCTCATTCTTGTTTTGGTTTGTGTTTCTCTAATGACAAGTGATCGTGTGCATCTTTTCAACAACTTTTTGGCCATTTTAATGTCTCATTTTGGAAAATGTCTACTCAAGTCAAAAATGTTTCTCATTTTTGAAGTAGTTTGTTACTCCTTTTGTTTTTGAGTTGAGTTTGGTCTAGATACCAAACCCTTATCAGATACATGATTTATGAATATTTTCTCCCATCTTGTAGATGATCTTTTTACTTTCTTGACAGTGTTCTTTTATGCACAGAAGTTTTTAATATTTATGAACTTCAGTTTACCTAGTTTTCTTTTTTCTTTTTAGAGTGGAAAATATAATTTATTTGGAAGGTTAATTAGAGAGAGAGAAAGGGGAAATTCACCTCCCCAAGGTAGAGGAGGGGGCCAAAGCTCAGAAAATATGGCAGCCATGGCTCAAAAAGCACATGGCCTGGTCAGTGCTTATCAAAACAATGGCGACTGCTGCTCCAAGTTAAATGCCTTTTAAACCTTCCCGTTGGTGTGGGGCATGGTGTGTCTAAGAATCTCCTGCCAAATCCAAGGTTGTAAAGACATTTCTACCTTTTCTTCTAAAAATTTTATAGTTTTAGCTCTTTTATGCAGGTGACTAATCCACTTTGAGTAAATTGTTTGTATTTATGAAAGACAGGGGTCCAACTTCATTCTTTTGCACGTGGATATCCAGTTGTCTCAGCACCATTTTTCAAAAACACTGTTCTTTCCTCATTGAAAGATTTTGGAATTTTTTTGAAAATCAGTTGGCCATAAATGTGAGGGTTGATTTTTAGACTCTTAATTCTATTCTATTAACCTAGATGTTTATCCTTATGTTATACCACACTCTTTTGGTTACTGCAGCTTTGTAATAAGTTGTGAAATTTGTAAATGTGACCTCCAACTTTATTTTTCTCTTTTTCTTTCACAAGATCATTTAGGCTACTCTGAGTCCTTTGATATTCTATATGAATTTTAGAATCTGCTTCTTAATATTTCTGCGAAAAGGCCATTTGGATTTTGGTAGAAAATACACAAAATCAGTAGATCAATTTGGAGACTATCGTGATAGTAACAGTAAGGTTTCTAATTCAT